CGCACACCCAGACGGGCTGCAAGGACAGCGTCGTCTCTCGCCGCGGGAGGGCTGCGTCTCCGCCGCCAGCCCAGAGTTCCCCTCAGGCGCCCTGAGCTGTCGCTGGGGGAGGACATTGCCGCAGGGGCCAGAGGCCCCAAAACCAGCGGCAAGTGAGCACAGAAGTAACGGCTCTGAGGAAAAAAACCCCCACAAGCTGCCTTTATTTTCTTTAGTTACAGAAAATGGAGAAAGGGGGCATCTTCCTTTAGTACATACCTAGGTATTTTAGTCAATGTTTAGTTGTAACTCCTGCTGCATACTTCTCAGAAATGTTCGTTTCTACGAACTACTTCTTTCATCGCCGTTTGCCATTTTGGTTCAGACATTAAAAGAGGACTGTTTCCTGGAGAAAGAAAAAGAAATACGTGACTAACGGGAACCGGGAACAGTTGATTGCAGACGATCAAGATTGGCACAATCAGATATTTTAAAAAACCACAACTGTATAGGTACAGCATCCTGTTGGGACTAATGACAGGGAGTTGGATCAACGCTTTGAAGAGCAGATGTTTTGATCCCAGGAGTGTTTCTGGTTCCTCATTTTGACACTGTCACTCCTGCGGTGTTTTTCAGTCATCTTGGGGAACACGGTGGTCAGCAACCTCCCCCCCCCCAGACCCATCAAATGTCAGTGACAGCAGCCAAGACAGAGGTCAAATTAAGGAAAACTACATTAATTCCTTTTTTCCATTTCTTATGTCATTACCTTAAAAATCTAAATTTTCAGTATTTGTCATCCTCTTGTGCTTGCCTTTGCTGTTTAACCTTATTTTGAAGTGTTAAGACTCATCCTGGTTTTTAAGTGTAAGGTTGTTAATTATCACAATTATTCTATGACTAAAACAGAGCGGACAGAATCTCCCAAAAAGGTCGTTCATTTATTAGTACCCATCTAAACAATACAGATAAAAGAAAAAATCTGCATAGTACACAAATGTTTGGACAAACACAGCAGGAAGAAACAAGAAAAGGAAACTAATACATAAGAAAGCAGACACACGCAGAGGGATTGCACAGTTCGGCATTCAGGATCACCAGACGTTGGCTGAGGCGACACAACAGCAACGTGCCATCTGTTTTCTTGCCACTGGTACATAAGATTTTACTATAGAATTTTATTTTAAAGAGTTATTTTATTCTTGTAAAATTAAGCTTTGCCTTTCTTTTTCTCATTTTATTAAAAAACACCTCTATCAAATTAACTGTGAGAAACTGTGTGCCTCTTCAAACCAGCAGAGACATCTTCTAAACAGGGTATTGCTTGGCTTTTAAATATATTTATTACCCACAATATTGTCACTTTTATGTCATAAACAGATTCTGTCCAGGTAGCTAGAAAGCTATTTACAATTAATTCAACCAGAAGCCACTCGACCTGCAACTAACATTTTCTATTGAAGATGCAAATCTCTGGCATCAAGAAGACTGTCATTATTAGAAGCAAGACTAAACTTTCCCTTGGAAAGGTACAGCAGTCCATCTTGCTTTACTTCAAGTGGGGGTAAGGCAAAACTAGGCCATAGCAGAGGTTTGGATGCGAGTCATCCTCACACACTTTTACTTTTCTTTACTTTGTTAATTCTATGAAGGCCATGTGAGATGCCAACCACCCTCTGGCCTGCATTAAGAGGTTTCTAAAAGATTTCCTTTTCATAGACCAAAATGAGAGTTGGTTGACAACCCTGACGTAGGATGCAATGGACTATACCGCACCACAGACTACTTCAGAGGAATGTATTCCCACAGGCCGGAAAACAATGATAGGAGTTTATCAAGTTTTCACTCAGTCATTCTCTTTTAAAGAGAGGCATTGAAATGATCTGCAGATCTGCAGCATTACAAAGGCAATGACAGCAGTATGTCGCATAAAATACCTATTTACCACAATGCAGTTAAAAGGACTTTATTTGAGCTTCCTTAATAAATTTTAAGATATATTTGTTTACGTATAAATATCTATGTAGAAGTAATCAATCTTTACTGAATTATGCACAGATAATGTTTTCTTTTCATCGCACGCTGTTAATGAGCAGAAGTCAAGTACGCTGCAATCGAGTATTACCGAGCACAACGGAAGGCTGCGACTTCTCTTCATTTCTTAATAGGGAAAAAAGAGCAGTCAGCATGAATGAAAGCTTAAGAACCCACTTTATTTCCTCATCAAAAGAAGAAAGAATCTGTACATCCACACAAGTGTTAGTAACACTCGGCACATACATGTGCTGGCTGTTGCACAGTCAGAACAGAGCGTTTGTTCTGACTATCGGATGTGGAAGAAGAGATGGAGATGACCAAGGCCAAGGAGAAGAGGCTTCCTCTTTCTGAAGGCAGACCCAGAGGCATCAAGGATTTTCTCTATTCTCCGGCACAATCATCTCAAGGACAAATGGATTCAAGGATCTTGAAAGACAAAAGACAAAAAAAAAAAAAGATTACCTTCACTAATTCGGTTTTGTCGTAATCTTCCCGATGTTGGTAGATGCACTGACTAACAGCGGCATATACTTTTTCCAAGTGAAATACACTGAAGTTCTTGGTTATCTCAGTGACAAAATGCAACAGTTGCTGAAGGAAAAAAACCAACCAGAAACTACAGGTTTAGAATAATGCAAGATCCCTGATGTTTTCAGAAGCTAAATAATAACAATACAAGTGACATCCTACTTTTTAATACTGTTAAATAAAAGATAAATGACACTTCAGAGAACAGATTTGGTATCTCACAAGATTTAACTGGAGAAAACGAGTTAATTTTTCCTACTTCAGAGAAAAGGCAGGCTAACATTTCAGGCAGCGTTTTATTAGTAACCAATCTATCACATCAACGGGCGTAACTGCAAATCAACCACTCCCAGAGCAGCAGGGAACGACACAATCCACTTTGTCGTAGAGTTGCTGCCACAGCAAAGCCACTGTTGCATTTCACGTCGTTTGGGAACTGCTGCTGCAATGCAGGGCACCGTAAAATGGAAGCCAGGCTACAGATCTTCCAGATACAGCGGTGCCAGCGGGCACAGCAGCATCCTTAGGTGCTCACCTTCACCCATGAACTGAACACGCACCATGCCTACAGCTCTGCTGGTAGAACACACTGCCCAAGTGTCTGAAGCAGATCAGGAAGCAAAGGTTCACCAGTCAGCTCCTACCTTGAAACTGCAGAGTGGAGAAACCAGCAGAGCAACACAAGCTGTATATCCTTCCCATAAATTGTTTTAATTCAGTGGTTAACAACTGACTTAATTTACAACTGTATGTGTAACAAGAAAATGCCTTACTTCCCTATTAACAAGATTGAAATTAGGCTTACTTGGAGCTCATAGTAATTCACGATCGCTGGCAGTGTGAGGATTACCACAGCTTTTTTCTCAACACGCATCGCCTGCTGCTCTTCTGCCCGAGGATGTCTGGCACGAGTCATGCAGTGTATACATGAATCTGGAATGAGACATTTCTGTAGTCAGGATTTCTGTTTATCTGGAATACCTGTACCAGTGAAGTGTCCTGTACCCCCAATACAGTCTCTCTCTGCAATGACAGAGACAGGACAGTGACCATTCTTACACCAATCAATGTTTCACTTTTACTTTCTTTCTGGCAAAAGTCACTGCTCCATAAAAATCAGAAACTTGGACACAAAAAACCCCCTGCACAATAGAAAAAGGCAGGGTAAAACCAGGAAAAAAGTGTAGTCACATTGCCATTACAGAACTGCACGGTAAATCTCCACAGTAATTCAGGTTAGGAAACACATTTTACATTGCCAACATTAGGACACATCTTCTATTCCACACGTGACTCTGGGTTCACACTCCAAGGACAGCTTTTGAACTTACACTGATCGTTACTGGGACAATACTCATACAATAAAAGAAAGTCAGTGGTTGTTTTTCAGTTAGTTACCATTTGAAAACCAAACGTCAGAATCAAAAAACCAGCGCTGAAGAAAAACAGGCGTTTGGCTCGAAAAACTATAGGGGCAGCATCATCATGTAAGAAACACTGCGTGCTGATTAGAGAGAGATACAAGAGAAATAACAGAATGGAACCACATAAAGCTAAACCCTAATAAATGAGTAGTGTAGTCTTCCTTGGAAGAAAAAGGAGCCAAATGACCTGTTTGACCCTTCATTTACCATTGGAATCTCTGTCGTCAGAACTTTCCGCTACTTGGCAATCCAGCATCTCGCTCTGCTGTCTTAGGTCAGGCTGTTCAGGAAGCACAACACTCCTCTGAAGCAGATTTAGCCACAAGAACCCTCTCTCCTTCATTTTCAGTCCCAGGTTTATTTTCATTCCCATTTTTCTGTCGTTCTTGAAGTACCTTTTCATTTTCTTCCATAGAAGAATCCTGCGTGGACTCACCTTCAGTACGATCCATGTTAGAAACACGTTTTTCTAGAGGCTCTTCATCACTTTCTACTTCATCCCAGTCTTCTGGAATTTTATTCTCTTTATTGAGCTGAAAATTCCTTCTCTTTGCTGCCATCCTTGAAGACTGTGTTCTGTCTGTGTATTCTTTTTGACATCACTACAAAGAGATATCAGAAAAAGTAGATTTTTAAAAGCCAGCTGCAGAATTTCATTCATGAAACTGTCAGCTTCAAAATTTTATCAGCAGAAAGCAAATGAAGGTGCTTAATGTCTTACTACATGAACTAATAGAGATGAACAACAGAGAAGTGTTTGGAGACGAGCCCTTCCTCAGATGTGCTACAGATCTGTAAGAGTCAAAAGCTAAAACACATGTTGGGCAGAGTTAAAAGAGACAATTTTAAGGGAATATTTACTGGAGAAAAAGGACACTGTCCATGAAGACTTACACCTCATATGCTTTCTGATTCAGTTAACCTCGTTTAAAACAAGGGGTTATTTGGTTTACGTTTTCACCTTCCAGTAAAGCCCACAACTCTTTGTATTCCCGGAGGACTGCACAGAGCCTGTGGGTGAAGTCAAATGGCAAAATTCCCAGTCGTTCCAGTGACACCAGGAGACTTCCCACCATGTCATGAGTTTTAACAGAAAGAGACTCAAGTTCCTTCATATCCTTTTTGCAGGAGAAGTGAGGATATAATTATCTGTCCTTTACATATCTAGTATTATTGGGCTCCTATTTTCCACCACTTCCCCCTTCAGTTGGAAATCACAGGAAGAGGTGGCATAGATTTTTAACATTTGAGGGCAGGGGAGGGAAAAGTACTGTTTAATGTAACTAAAAACTTGTTGAGTATTTTGAAACTTCCATGTACAACATTTTTTACTTCAAGAGGCAGCAATTTAAGAGCCATTACATGTCAGTCGGGCCATCAAGGCCAGTGTCTTACAATGCAAACCAACCACTGCGCTTGAACTTCATAACCAGATGGAATGAACGACCTCTGGATTTCTCTCACATTCTGAAGCACACGAAAAATACGTCATGCCTCTGGCATGAAGAGCCAGGCATCCCCAAAACCTGTGGTGTCCCAAGAACAGAGAAGGTACCAGTGACTTTAGCACTTTCCCCAAGAAAGTCGGAATAAAACGCAACTTGCTGTTAGAGCGGGGTGTACTGGAATCCACAGGTGCTGCTGGCATCTTCATTTTTTCATTACACTCTGGGTCTGTTTCCTCACACCCGGGATCAGAGTTCTGCTTTGGCATCACATGGTAGTAAGATGGAGCATACTTTGAAGAGCTACAACCTTGCAGGAAAGAACAGATCGCAAAGGATTGTGTCTTGCGCTCTTGGTTACAAATACTGAGACAAGTCTTAAAATCCCTTGCGTCCAAAGACGTACCTCTTTTCTGACGAGATTCTTTAATTTCTTCACAGCATTGTTCAAAATCTTCATCCATTTCTTTCCTCACTATGGCATACGCGGTGCCTCTGAGAGCACAAGCTCTGTACCTAATGAGACGATCTGAAATTTTACAGTTAGAATGGAGTCTTTTCTACCAGCCAATGAAATCTCGCCTTTTGATCTAGAAAGATTTTGCTCCTCTCATAGGTAGGTTCTGAAAGGTTCTCTCAGTGAGTATTTTCAGCATAACAACAGAAAAGTTTAATGATCAAAGCTAAGGCACTAGTTATCGATCCACACTTTCACTACTTCATGCCCAAGTAGTTTAATGCTACATTCACAGCCTCACAAGAAATGCACTCTGGGGATGTTTAAAATTATCTGATCCCAAGTCTACTGTCCAAAGATGACATTTTACACATTTTAAACTTGTCCAAATTAAGGACAGAAACTCATCCTCACCTGCAGGATCTTTATCTGGGTTGTACTCTAAAGCGTTGCTACAGATCAGATCGATGTCTGTTAGAAAGTCTCTTGCAGTTTGGTACTAGTACAAGTCAGTCTTGGAGAGAACTCTTGAAAGGTCCATGGGCTGTTGAATAACTGCTTCATAATCGGGTACCTGCAAATGAGAGGTACGTGCTCAGAGATTTAACACGGTACCTACCAAAAATAGTTACTTTAACAAAGTCAAGTAAAGGACTTCTTAAAAACACTAAATATTTATGACACACCCAAAAATGCAGCAATTAACCACTGAGGTTCTTGAAAACAGAAGGTGTTTCAACTGGCTTTGCGGACACAGACCAGAAGAGGGGGAAGAAGCAGCAGCAGGGAGGTCAGAAGCACATGCGGGGCGGAGAAGGGAACAGACACCCAGAGTGGGATTCATTTCACTGTGCTTCAGAAAATCACAGCAAGGAAACCTCTCTCAGTGAAGTCACCCAAGATTCTCTTTGTTGTTGGCGGCAAGAAAAAGGCCGCAGGAACTGCACCTTTGAAGTATCTCTCCTGGGCGTCTACTGTAGAATGAGAGAACTGGACCCAGAGGTGCCAGTTCCTTTGCTCAGACCATAAAACTGACCTAATGAGCAGCTTAGATGAGGGCATCTATGTTTGTTTAGATTATTCACATCGCAGAAACGATAAGGGAAAGACAAGTCAGTGGATGCTTAAGGGAACAGGACTTTGCTGAAATGCAAAGCTGTATTAAAAATACAGCTGACTTTGATGTACGCGCCCCTGGCTTAGACTTATGCAATAAATTAAGTGAGAAAGAGAGACGTAAGAAGCGTATGGAGGAAGCAGAAACCACACAGCCCTTACGGTTGATCTTACACCAAGGACCCTCGGGTGAAACAGAGAATAGAATCTTAAAATTTATTTTAGAAACTGCTGCTTCTACTCCTGTTCTCACAAACTACTGACAGTAAATTAAAGAGCTTGAGGCTTTATTAAAACAGTCCTGTAGATACTGTTCATCATGATGAAGAAAGAGCTCTCTGCTTTTTACTGCTGTAACAAGCCTTCACATTAAAGCCTTTCATGGGAACCTGTTTGCATTTGGTCTGACTGGCAGCTGGACTGGATGATCCTCGTAGGTCCCTTCCAACCAAAATACTCCGGTGTTCTGGAGATGGTTTAGAAGGAACCTGAAGCTTTCAGTGAATACTCTGACATCAGGAGACATCTGATAGCCTCAAGGATTCAACCACAACAACAAAGCAGAATTCACTTCCTGCTTCTTGAGAAGCATGGGCCTAAAACCAAAGATAAACCTTCCTGTACAGAGCACACAAACACTGAGAAATGCAAACACAAATTATGAAGACACCCAGATAAAATGGTACTACAGATAAACACTAATTTACCTCCTCTGGGTCAACAGGCTTTGTGAATGCTCTGAAACGTCTGTCAACGGCAAGTCTGTGAGTCACGTCCCTTAAGAAGATCCTAAGTTCACGCATCGTATCCTCCTCCTGCTCCTCCAGCTTTCTCAATTCTTTCGCTGTCAGCTCTCGAGGCTGAGGCGGCGGTGCTACAGGCAGTGCTTCCAGTGTCTGCCAAGCTTGAATTCATCAGAAATTTTTAATCAATTCATGGTGCTCCAGTTACAAGCATATGGAAATATACTGATAGAAAATCACCATCAAACCAAACAGCACATAGCTATTAACTAACAGTCAGCAAAGTTTTATATGTAGAATGGCCTCACCGGTGGTGTTTTTTGACGCAGGAGGGTTAGCAGCTTGATTTACAATTAAATCCTCAAAAAATGCTCTTCTTTCTTCCTTACTAGGCAACTGGACTTTGAAAACTTCATTATCATGGATAAACAATTCTTTTATCTAAAGCGAGAGGAGAAGAGGTGTTTCAGACATAAAGCCACACAGATTCATATTCTATTCCTAAAAGATGACTACCTTTCTAAATTGAACTGAATAGTCATCTGGATAAAACCACTTGTGAAAAGTTATCTTCTTGGCCTTAAAAGGCTAGAGTTTCATAGGTTAGCATGGCAAATTAAAATGTCTTCTCTCAAGAACACCTCTAGAGTCAAAGTTCAATGAGGGAACCATACGATAAAGCGCTTGGAGCACCTCCCTCTAATGCACACAGTCATACTTCTGGACAGCTAAACATGTCTTCTTGCTCAAATCTGTTATGGGATACAACCAAAAATTGCTTTCCAAGCTACTTAAACAGAAGTTGGAACTTAGCTTGCTCGTAAAGCTTTCACTTACATGAAAAAAGGAATTGAAAATTTTATTCAAGATTTTACATTTGAAATTACATTCCCTCGTTAACAGTGTGACCGCTGTATTTTTTCAGTTAAAGTATCTTTTGCTTTTCAGCAAAAATATCCTTTCCACACTGACATTTCAAGCACCAAGTACACGGGTAATCATCTTGAAGTCACTGCAATTACTGTCTGAAGTAAATTCATGCATCTGTCTGATTAGCAGGAGTGTGGAAGAAGGGGGAAAAAGTTGGGTCACAGTCGATCCCTTTGCTCAGGAAGCACTTTAGGCAAATGCTTTCGGGATTGTTTTGTGAGCAAATGTGAAGAGACCTGGTTAGGGTGCCCGAGTGCCAACAGTATGGATTTGCTTAAGAGTGCACAGTACTCCAATGCTTAAAGGATTTGTAATGTAACAAGAAAATGAATAAAAAAGTAAAAAAGCTTGACAGAAATACCTCTTTTGGGAGATCTGTGCAAGACACATCAGATGTTGCAAGCAGCAGAACTGGAGCAAATGCTGGAATGTTCTGCAGTAGTGTTATGAAAGTAGTTTTCAAGGTAGCTCCAAAAGCCTCCCGCCACAGATGGATGTGTGGGATACAAATGATGCTTGGTGCTGTTCTTTGAGCTTCTCGCATCAACTGCGGAAATGAAAGCTTGGGTAAGAAAACCAAGCAATGTAGACCAGGCTAATAACTACAAATCAGTCAAATTATCTTACAAAAAAGGAACAGATGAAATCAGATCTTCAAAATAACCCAACAGAAGAAAAACTCCTTAACAAAGAGGTCAAATTGTCCCTTTGACTCAAATATAGACATTGCTCTGCAGCCAGAAACAGACCTTAATCTTTGCCTGGTTTCAGAACTACCTAGGTGTAAGGTAACTCCTGAAGAGCCTCACAGCTCAGCTGTTGCGGTGGTGTGCCTTACAAATACAACAAAGCAGAAGGCTACAAAAAAGTGCATGACTTGCAGAGCCATCTACTGGGAGCAGAGCCTTAAGCTGCAATGAAAACGACTGCCTGGTTCCCACTGAGATGGGCAGGATTTCATGCTGTGAAGAGGGGTTTATTAGCAGCACCTCTCAGCTCTCCAGGCTGCTTCCAACTTCCTCACTGTTTAAATTGGAAGGGAAAATGTGGCCATTATACAATGTCCTTATTTAGTACCATTCGATCGAGAAGAAAAGTGGATTTTCAGACAGAAATAAACATAACAGCACATTCAAACCAGGCCACCTCCATTAAGAGTGACTCTTGCTTACTTTACTATTTTATATACACTGAATGAATCCTAGGAGATTAAAGGGGGAAAAGATACCTGTGCAGATGTTTCTTCTGGTGATGTGACGCTTGCAAACAAAACGGATGAGTCTAGCGTATAAATTGGAAACTTTTCCAGGACATGGATTACTGCAGGTGCCAAATGAGACATCTGACCATATCCTGGCTCTCCAACTATTAAAAACCATGGCCTGCAGGATGTTGGCTGGTAATAAGCATTTCTGGAACAAGAAGAATTAAATATGCTTAAAAATGAAGTGGAGAATAGGCACACAGATGTTGAAGGTTGCTTTAGTGGCTGAAATCAAAGACCCTAGAGATCTAATCAAGTTCGGGAGGCCAGAAGATGTTCTAGCAATAGAAAACAATAGAAAATGAAAAGAATCACTGACCCAACAGTGACGACAACAATCTATCTTTTCAACTGTTGGCTTCTACAATTTCCATATTAAAATAACAAAAGATTAACATAAACTTAGTAAGCTAAAGGTACAAAATGCAGACATTGTTTAAGTTTTTCTCACAGTGTTTTAAACCAACCACTTCGCAATTTTGTTTCTGCTACATAATTTGCTACTGGTTAAGCAAGCTCGGAAGGTAGAAGGGCAAAAGATGGCTACAGAAATTAGTAGGTTTTTGTTGGGTTTTTTTTAGCTAAACGGACAGCACATTTCTTTGGTCTTGAGTCTTTCAAGGAATACCATGGATTAAATCCACACGTTATAGTAGCCTGTGGACCACTCTGCCTTGGGAAAAGAGGGCTGAGGTGTTCAGTTGATGGGTTATGGCAGTGGACTAGAACATCAGTACCCAGCTGGATCTCCTCACTTCATGCAAATATTACTCACTCCCCACACACACTTCACTCCTTTCATCTACCACCCCTCAATGCCAAAATTGTTTGCAGACCCAGCCATCTTACAGATTTAAATGTAAAGGGGACAGAAAGTTACCTGCTGAAGCTGATGAAATTTTCCTTTTGTGTACCAGGCGGTTTATGCGTTGGCTTATCTTCAAAGATTGATGGCAATTCCTCATTGTTGTCAACTGCATCATTTGTTAAAATATTATTTAAAGTCTCTGAAACACACAAGAGGTTTGTTAGCTTTCCTGTATGGTTCCTGTCTTACTCTCAAATTCATGCAGCTTCTAAATCAGTGCTAGAAACCCCTTCTCTTGTATTTATGGAAGGGCACATGCCAAATGCATCCTAGCACAGATCTAAGGAGACTGCACAAGTCTCTACAAAGCTGTCCTATGTACCATGATTTGTGTAACGTTTATCTCTCTGTTGGGGAAAACTCAAGAGATTTTCTCCTCAGAATAAAAATTAAGAGCAACTTCTGTAGTTCCTAGCCACCTGAAAAACCCAACAAGGCCACTTCCTTCTGAAGCAGGTTCCTTCCCCGAAGTGGGGGAATTAAGCAAATGTGATGGCCATGGACCTCCATTTGCTAGGACTAGTGAGTAAGCAAAGCAACTGTTCAAGGATCCCCAGTAATCAGGAGTGGGGTGAGCTTTTCCATTGATTTGCTCTCACCAACTGACAGACTAAACGTGATCAGGGCTGATGGAGTCAGGAACATGAGCTCACCCATGCTATGCAAGCCAAGCCCCAAGGTACGCATTACTAAAACATTCTGATCTCACGGGCAAGTGTACAGTGTGATCCACAAACAGGGAAATTAGAGAGACTGTGGTTAAAAATCATGATAGCTAAACAGTATTTAGCTTAACCCACTTACACTTGTATTGTGGTGCTGACATTCTTCAGACAGGACTTAAAAGGCATTCATGTAAAAACACCCTTCTCCCCCCATGGAAACATTTACTTTGAAAGAGGTGTCTCATCCACTCAACCTTAGATCTATCTCTGAAAATGACAACTATACTGTCAGCTACTGTCAGAAACAGGGTGCAGTGGTAGAGCGTGCACAGTTCTCTACTGCACACTGCCAGTCATTCACAGCTCCCATCCAGCACTGGGCACGTTAGAAAATTCTACTGCCATTGTGGCCGAGAGCTTTGTGTGTGCTGATTGCACAAACCACTGGTTGTTGCTCTGGCAGGATTCTAAAGAAGTGGATGTTACCATGATACCTTGTTGCTGGTCCTTCTTTAGTGCAAGCTTGGCGTGGGGAAATACTCTCTGTAGGGCTTGTAGAATCCTGGCTAGGGTGTTCTCCAGCAGTGGTTTTGAAACGGGTGATAATGCTCGCCCAGGTGAAACCACAGCCCTCTGGGAAGCTGGAACAGTCTTCTCCATAGCCGTGACAAAATCCTTTGCTGTTATTTTAATAGAAGTGATATCCAGCTGTAGCCTGTTGCTACTTTGGTATAATTGAGGGTAGCGGTGGCACAAAGCAGAGAGGGCAGCTTCAGCGCATAAGGATTTAATATCAGCACCACAGTATCCTGATCAACAAAACAAGAAGCAAACGTTACATCAGTTCCTGGCAACACAGAAGTCAAGGTCGAGGCTTCCAAAGTGCAACACTGAAAGACTTTGTATGCAGCCAAAAATTAACAGGTTAAGAGAGTTACTGCACTGCAGAGAAGTTTTGTTACATGGCTCGCAGCCCAATACCTGTGCAGTATTAATGAAGCAGTCTCCAAATCAAAACTTTGCTCCTGAGGAAGATGCCCAAAACCCATCCAGTGTTCTGAGACATACAAAGAACATTCAAAGAAAAGACGACTCAAACTTTGTTTGCTCCCCTGCAGCGAGGCACAAGAGCTCAGGCACTACTGCCTGGTACAAGCTCAGACCCCTCACAACTCAGTTACATGTGGCAACTCGCTTTTGTTTCCACTTCCCCCCACACTTTCCAGCCAGTTTGTCAAGAAACGTGTCCAGCAGCTTAGGGGTCCACTCCCGCGTGTGAATCTTGAAAATCTCTTTTCTAGCCTGGAAATAAAATGTTTGCATTATAGTTTCTCCCAAGTTTTCTCTTAAAAAAACAAACCAAAACCCCAAAAAACCAAACACCCCACTAAAACCATAATGCAAACCCAAGCCCCCCTC